GCGCCAGGCTCTACTGGGACCGGGCCATCATCACAGACAGGACTATTCTTGCGAAAAAGCCTGATATTGTGCAGATGGACTGGAAACAGTCAAGGATATTTTTGGTCAACATTACCATTCCGTATGACGAAAACCTCGTGAAAGCCGAAACAGATAAACGAACAAAATATCTGAACCTGGCTCACGAGGTGACCGAAATGTGGGGTGGTCTGTCGGACGAAATTATTTCTGTAGTCGTCTCAGCGAATGGACTAATCCCAGTCAGCCTCTAGGGTCATCTGAGGCGACTGGGACTCCGTGACGAACCGCTCCAGGCTCAAATGCAGAAGGCGGTGCTCCTCCGGTTTCTTTCCCTTTCCTCCTAAGCCTCGGCCGTTTGGTCTCCCCTGCCGAGGCTTTCCATCAGGCTGGATCTTTATTTATTTATGTATCTTTTGTATTTATTTTATTTTATTGATGTTTATGTATATTTGTTTTTTCATTTTATAATAATAACAGGTTTCCCTTATATTGCTTGATGGTTTATTGTTGTGGGAAGAAATAGGAATAAAAAAAATCCAAAAGACAAATCATAAGCAATTAAGTGTATCTAGGGTGGTCACAAGCGTACAGATATGTTGAGTTCTTTGGAGGGTCTGGTAGATTGATATTATATTTATATTACATAAATGTATATTGCAAACATAATAAAGTAAATTAATTACAAATAACTTATATTGGTTAATAATATTGGCAGTCACAAAAATACATATTAAAAAAAGAAAAGAGAATATGTGGTTTTAACTGCAATTGCTATGCCCCTTAATGGTTTTCATGATATCATGTTTAAACATAACTTAGGATTTCACAAAGATGTCAATGTGTCCAAACTGTTCATTATACGTGCGGGCGAGTCACTAGAGAACAGTTTCGGCAGTAATTTGTGTCAGGTGGTGCCATAAATCGAGTCGTGCAATATACCCTATAACATCCCGTAGATGGAGGTGAAGAAAATCTGAACCAGGATTTGGAAGGCTGCATCTTCTTTGCCAACCCAAGCAATATGTATGCATAATATACATAAGCACTCACGCCTGTCACCCAGAGGGGTAGGCAGGGACTACAGACTTCCATTGGGCACGATCCTGACACACCTCTCTCGCCTCTTACACATCCATATAATATGTATATAATAATAATAATAATAATGTCCTCCAGACCGAATTCCGGCCACGGCGGCTTGCCTCAACGGAGGCTAGCCATAGGCGCAGGACAGGATTATAGTGCCCAAGTGTATGCGCACAGGTGCACTCTCTATTCGCTCACTCTCATAATCCGATGGGACGGTAAACCGACACGACCGGTGAGAGATCAGGCGCAGGACCAACGGCTTCACGTGCTTTCTGGGGCACGTGGTTGAGACACCGCCAACTTCCTGCCTCCGGGAAACTACTGAGAATTTCTTGACGGAAAAACTCAATAATAAATTTTTTGACCCGACCTGGGATTCGAACCCAGGACTTCATGATCAGCAGTTCCACTACTACAACCACTAGATCAACGAGGCAGTCAATGAGCAGCTCGGCGGTTAAGGGTACTCTTAATTTGGCCCGTTTGGAATAGATCGCCAATTTGGTCGACAAACTTTCGCCCTGTCCCTTACCGACTCTGCCGTCAAATATCCCCCAATGAGGAAATCTATGGGAGGCCCATGGTCAGCAATTGTATTTTCATAGGCTGTAATGGCCATGATAAAGGATAGATAATTCTTCATTTGATCATAATATCTAGCTAGTCTCAGTTCAGACTAGTCGCTGTGACCGAAAATTCGTGAATTGTAAATGGGTCACGCACAGTACACTCAAGAATGCAAGGATGGACAATTTTTTCACCTGGCTCGGAAACTCTACTCAATACTCCAATTTTTAAGCTGCAAGAACTAGGCATCAATAAAAACACTGCTCCTACACACTGGACTAAGTAGGCGATTTGTTGAGCACACAGTTGTGTAGCAAACAATACCGTGTGATGTTTGTCTGCTATCTTGGGAAATGAAAGGCAGAGCTGAACCACATAGTATTCAGTACAAATGCGGCAAATGGTACAGCAGTCAACTATGAGTAGATGCATGACTTTTGTTTTTGGTTGTTACCCATGAGTGTGAGTATAGACAGGGACAGTGTGCAAGCGAGAGGTGAACTTTTTACAAGGTATAGCCATGCTGCAGCTTTGATGGCTGCAGCACAAATGGGTCGGCTTGACTAGAGTATGACCACACACTTACAGAATACCAGTGTGAAATAGCAGCTTAATGCTGCTGTGTTTCGTATGGTGAATGTAGAAACCAGAGATCTTTTCACTGGAAATGAAATGGCACTCCATCTTAGTTTTCAGGTGTGATAACGCATTTTGACTCTAAATCAAGGAAAGATGTTGATGTCTATGGAACACAGCATTCCTTTACCTTCCGGTGGACTGTGCACTCGTATGTCTAATATTATTCTATAAAAAAGAATATTGGCGACACCAATAATTATAATCCCGTTCTTAATATGCGTTAGTAGAAGATGGAAAATGGTTCAACAACTGGGGGTTTGATTGATGGAATCACACTCTTTTAACCATTACAACTGTACATAATGAAACATATTACTTATATTTGAAAAAAAAAAAGATCTCTAATAGAACCAATAATAAAGTAAATATTTTTCTTAATGATATCACCAGATGCCGCCCTAGTTAGATCAAGAGCTTACAGTGGATAACCCCTGTTTGAATCTCGACAGGCAAGATACGGTCTGGTGTATGGAATTTCTTGTCATACTCCACAGTACTCCATTTGCATGACTGGTAAGAAAAGAAATAGTTGTTTTCATGAATATACATAAATATATTATAAAAAGTTTAGATTCATTTTGGGTTGGAAGTTAAGTATGGCTTCTGCTATTTAAATATGGCGACAGCGGGAAACAAATGAGATTTGGAGCAACATTTTATTTGTGGTAGTCACGCTATAGCTATATTATGATTGTATGAAGCACAAAGTGATCAGCTGGTCCGGAATAGGACCACACTCTTACATAATACCAGTCTAAAATAGTAGATTAATGTGTTTTGTATGGTGGGTGTACAGAACCGGAGACCTTTTTTACTGGAAACGAGGCATTCCATCTAAGTCCTGAGGAGTGACAACGCATCTGCATTTTATTATCATTATTATGAACAGGCTAGCAGTTGGAACAACTGATAAAAGCCTGTATCCTAGTTTCAAATGTGTAATTATTCTATTTTAGTTGTCTATCCAATCCATTCTTAAATTGGTTAATGGGCTGTGCAGATACACCTCTGACGGCAGTTTGTTCCATGTTTTAAGCACTCTTTGGCTAAGAAAGTGCTTGTGTAGTTATTATTACACGGCAGAGAGGCAGTGCCTCCCTCAATATGAAACACCCCACAGGTTCCATGTTTTAAGCACTTTTTGGCTAAGAAAGTGCTTGTGTGAGTTATTATGTGACACGGCTAAGGGTTAATTTGAGGCAGTGCCTCCTACAATTCTTAATCAAATATAAATGCAGACATCTACGGGCCCCAACTTCCACTTACCATCAGGTGGACTGTGTGCTTGTTCGTCACCATTATTCTGTGAAAGAAATCAATGTTGCAAACCTGCTTTTGACAAGTGTGTCAACTGCGGCAAATCTGCCTTCTATGAGGCAATCTATGGAGGACGTCTTTGTTCAGCTATGGACTTTGATAGGCTGTAATGAAGATGATGATGTGATATGAAATTATCAACTGATTGCTTTGTCAAGGATTTAAAGCCAGGACCCAAGACTCAGTAGGTATACTATAGATACTGATGCCTATAATCAGACACAACAAGTGTATAAAATTAACACAAACGTACTTATAATTACAAACTTTTATTTGTTACAGAAAATCCACATCAACAGAAATGTTTGTTGAAGGAAACAACATACAACAACGTAAGTGACTATAATTATAAATTATGATTAGTTATTATTAATTTATTATTACTAAATTAGTAGCTTTAACAGTTTCCCTGTCCAAGGAACAGACACAATAGTTAAACAATTACAATGTAAATATGGCACAGGGAAAGAGTTAATGTTAAAATAAATTCCCATGTATAGAATAAACTATTATGTATATAGTAAAATATGTCTTACCATTATCAAAATTTTGTAGGTAATAAGTATTTACTAGATATATTTAGCCAGCTTTAGCATATAAACATTTTGCTGGTGTGGCCCTTTAGCATATAATAGAGAGTAGGCTGGGTGGGTAGACCCATCTTGGGATGTTGTACCAACCCATAATTCTAGGATGTGCCTTGAAATAATTTCACAAAATCAACATTTATCAAAGTTTAATTGGTTCATTTTAATTCATAAATTAGGCTTCGGTTTCATCAGCCATTGCTTGGAAAATAATGGAAGTATTACATAATATTTAAAACATTACAAGTACACTTTTTTTTTAAATTAAGTAGGGATATCTCTGGCTCGATGTCCTATAATCAGATACAGTAGTGGCTACATCCCTGCTATGTAGGTTTTATCATAAATATAACTATAATTTCATAATGAATTTAAAAACTGTTTTGCTAACTTTACAGCTTCTTTGGTAACATTCAATTAATATGCTGTGATGATAATGTAAAGTCATAATAGTGAGGTGACTGTCAGTATATTTTACTCTGTAGCTAAAACCTTAACAATTTTAATAATTAGAATAGTACCATACATAGTAATAATAAAAAAAAATACTGTTTAAGTTGTATTCAATTAGTAAAACATAACAATCAATTTTAATTCTTTAACAGCTATAAAAATAACTGAAGAAATTATATTTTATTTTTAAATTAACCAAACTATTTTCTATTATTACATAATCTCTTGAGACCTATTTATGTCACTTAATAATCAGATAAATTTCGGTCAAACCATTTAAGGTACCAACACATTTCTTGAAACCATTTACACAACATAAAGAATATTTCATCGCTTCATTGCACTTATCGTTTCTATCCACTGAGTGTTAACATTACTAAGCTGTTTGCAATTTTCATTCACAGCGATTATGTTTTTTCTAAAAGCTTTAAGTTGATCCAAATATGCGCTAAGGCTTGCATTCATAGCACGGACGGACTCTACTTCCTGTTGTAAATCAGAGGTCACCTTCTGCTATTAAATGAAATTTAGATAAACAAGCTTACAATATTGTTTTACACACATCCAAAAACGATTCAAATTTTTATTAAAATAAAATAAGTACCTCGCGCTTAGAAGACGTTACGGACACACTCGACATATTTGCATTAATAGAAGCGAAAATGTTAACAATGAAAGTTATTTATAGTTGTAGATTTACAATGAAATAATTTTTTAACTAATATTTTTAAACAAATAGTTGTGAAAAGTTAATACAATTATCTTGTAACGATATTTACTGTCCATTTAAAACTTTTATAGTCGCTTGTCGATTTGTCAACTAATACAGGCAAAGGTCTAAGACCATACTGCATAGTCAAGTCATTTAAGTGCTGATGCGTCCTATTGAAAAGTTGTTGTGAAATTTTCGCTATTACTTTTTTGCCTCATGGTGCGAAAATGTGGGGAGGTATATTTTACACCGCTACCACACGGATAGGAGCCGAGTCTGTACTTTCGCCTTGTCGCTCGGTTAGCACCACCCGGAAGACACGTATAGGGTGGGCCTAGGATTAGGTGGTCGAAGCCTACGGACGCGAGCGATTCATCCCCCTAATTATAATATAATTATAGTATAGTATTAGAAGTTAAGATCCTTTGTATTTCTGACCGGGAATTAGCAAATAAGTGGATGATAGAGAAAAATGGCCTAACTGAGAGTCCATCAAATCATCAGATCATCACCAAAAATATAAAGATATTAGGCTAATATATCTTATTCGCAAAACAGCAATAAAGGTAACAAAAAGACGATTATATAATAAATTCAACCCTTTTATGGGACAGTAACTTAATTAGATTTTTGTGTTTATTTAATAAATTCATGATTCCTGTTTTACTAACTTGTGAAACCTACTATATATTTACTTGCCTACCCAATATTTACTAAATACCTACCTATTACTTTAATTATAATTTTAATTAAAATTTCAAATAAGTGTCAATAATGGCGCATCACTATTTAACCACTTTATCTATGTATCAGTATCTATAGAACACCTGTTAATACTTGGCATAATAGGCAATGAGGTGAGCGCTACGCGTACTCAATAGCTTGCTCATAAATACTCTAAGGTTTCCCTTAAGAGCACACATGTGAAATAAGCAGACATTCAACACATAAATTCAAGCTACTTTTACGTGTGATACGTATAATCTACATCAAATCATTATAAAAATGGAAATACATACCTACACACAGCAATTTGAACCCTTCGGCTCCGGCAGTCGATCTAGTTCCCACTGTATGAGTATAGAAGTAAGGAGAACAGACTGTGTATTAAAAAATGTCCGTAAAAAAGCGTTAAATAAGGGTGGTGCCACTGTAGAGGGTAATTTTTAAAGAACTTTTTATAACTTTTTATTGCACAGACTTTCACCATAATTTTTTAATAATAATATTTTTATTGTTTTCAAAATTTTTATCTTCAAAACATCTCTCAACATGTTTTACGGCGACTTTTCTAGGTTATATTTACTAAATTATTTTAGACAACGAGAGTAGTTGAGGTTTTAAATACTGTAGTTTCATAAACTTCTTTGGTCACCACAATTATTATTTCCTCAACTCAGCACGTTTCACTCCGTCGACAACTGCTAAGTTCATTTCATACCTACCCTCTAGCTACTAGAGCGCTGTTTTTTTATGGGAGAAGAGACAAACGAACAAACTGCTCACCTGATCACAGAATACTATAATACATACATAATAGTACGGGGGGAGTGGGCGGAGCTCGTGTAGCCACTAACATGTCAATTCACACCTATAAGTGTCAACAAATCTCTGACATTACATTCGTTTCCATTTTCAAGAGTCAAGCGTCGCTGCATGCAAATTATTTAAAAGAAAAGACAAATTGTGTAATAATTACGCGTCGATAGAAGAGCGGAGAGGAGGCATAACCTACAACCAGTAAGTCAAAACTCTTTATATTTTGTGAATATTAGAAACAAAAATAAAGAAATATTGATGTGTCAAAAACAACAGATATTGTAAGTACTAGACATATAACAAAATTTTACCGATACCGATAAGCCGAAAAAAATAGTTTTATTATTTATTTATTTATTTGCTTTTTAAGTAAAACATACAGTACAATAAAAATACATTATAAAACATATAAAAGTAATCCTAAAACCAATGAAGTTTCTACAGATATCTAATACATATTTAAAGCTTGCAACCACAATATGATTAAAGATTTAAAAAAAAATAACTAAATGGTATTTATAATTAAAACTTAAGTACTAAACAGTTAAAAGTAATACAATACATACAACGTATAGTGAAGCTACCAATTATAAATTAAGTTTTGCAATATTTTTTATAACTATTATATTTAAAGTGAAAAATATCTAGTTCACAATATTCTAAGTTAAAATTTTTACATGTACAAGATACGAAATTATTCGAAGCATACTTCGCTTTTACTTTACGTAATGCAAAAAGAGGTTTATTTCGTGCACCTAACCGGTGACACGCAAGATTCACTTTTTAAGTAGAGGGGAGTCGATGATATTATGTATTAATTTGCACAACAAAATGTGATCTCCTATCACGCTTTTCGAGCTATTACTGTCTAAGCTCTAAGCTATCAATAATGGAGTCTACAGAAGAATTATGTCGCTTTAACATAAACTTTGTATTGAGCATTCTAACATGAAGAACAATATTTAAGAATAGATCGCACCAGAGTATTAAATAGTATAATTAATGTTGTAGAGTTTTTAAAATCTTTTGTATGTTTCATTACAAAACCTAGCATTTTAAAAGCTCTTTGAGTTATGATATTAATATGTGATCTCAGTAACAACTTACTATCCAACTGAACACCAAGATCACGCAGTTCATTTACTCTCTTTAGTTAATTATCGTCGAGCTTATAGTTAAAGAGGATTGGATTCTTTTTCCTGGTAAATGAGATAATATTACATTTCCTGATGTTCAAGTAAAGATGATTTGCTTGGCAATATGAGCTAAGCCTACACAGATCTTCTTGAAGTAAATTGCAGTCTTCTATAGATTTAATAGACCTAATAATTTTCATATCATCTGCAAAAAGGAGAATTATGGAATTATGGAAGCAGGATATTACATCCATACTATAAAATTATAAATGCGAAAGTGTGTTTGTTTGTTTGTTTGTCCTTCTTTCACGTCGCAACAGAGCGTCGGCATGGCATGATTATTTGTATGGGAATAGTTCGGTGGCTGTAGAGTGACATAGGTTACTTTTTTCCGCGGAAAAATATCTCATTCCCGTTGGAAAATAGAATATGTTGCAAAAGTTTGTCCTTCTTTCACGTCGCAACAGAGCGTCGGCATGACATGAATTTCGGTATGGGAATAGTTCGGTGGCTGTAGAGTGACAAAGGCTACTTTTTTCCGCGGAAAAACATCTCATTCCCGTGGGAAAATCAAATACGTTGCACAAGTTTGTCCTTTCATGTCGCAACAGAGCGTCGGCATGGCATGATTTTTTGTATGGGGATAGTTCGGTGGCTGTAGAGTGAGATAAGCTACTTTTTTCAGCGGAAATCGAATATGTTGCAAAATTAAATTCAGCTAGGTGGCGTCACCGTGATTCTACAAGACGGACGACGGTACGATGGACAAACACAGAAGGTCAGAATATCTAGATTATTATGTCTTTTTACCAAAATTAAGATAAAAAATGTATGGATCTGTATTTTTCCACGCAGGACTGGGAAGAGAGCGATAAAAACATAAAATTCACCAGCTGATTTTCTTCAAACGTTTTGCATTGTAATTCACAGAATAGGCGATAACCTCGTAGACGATATTAAGTAATCCTTTGATGCTCTGCCTATCCCGAAAGGGTTACAGGCGTGATTATAAGTATGTATCAGAAATACTATCACCGCCTGTCACGCTTTCACCCTTAACTGTGGTAGAAATAGTTCTTAGTAAGCCTTATTAATAAGCCTTATAATATTTATTGAACGGAAATGAATACACTTCTTATATGTGGTTAGGAATGAATCGGTATTAAAATAAGAAAAATTGTGCAAAACTATAAGAAAAATATTTTTGAGAGTTCTTATTAACTAACGTATACATAGTTTAAATTGATTTCGCTAGATGTCGTTACTAGGTTTTTAAAACGCGGTAACGAAATGTTTCCTGACATGTACTTAACTCCCGGCGTTGAGCCGCGCGTCAACGTAGAGCATACGGTACCTATACGCTTAAATTGTTTCTATTTCGTAACTTATTCGACTACCTGCTTTCTATTTCGGTTGTTTGTTATTTGCATTGTGATTTGGTTAAGGTTGAATGGATTTATATTGGCTTTCATTTTCGAATTTGTGTATTTTCTTGAATCGGTTTTGTTGATTTGGTTGGTATTCCTTTATACATACTTTGACTCTGGCTTTGATTTTGCACTTTGTTTATTTAGAATCGTGAATTGGTTTTCGTTGTTTTAGGTTGTTTAACAATATTTCAAATTGTTAAACAACCTAAAACAACGAAAGGAATATTAATAGTATAGATAGTGTATAGGTAGTATACGGTACATATACACTTACTTCTTTTTTCGTTGGTTATATTTATATTGACTACTGCTTTCGATTTCGGTTTTCTGCGATTTGTTTTGTGATTTGGTTTAAGTTGATTCAATTTTTTTTTTTGGCTATTGTTTTCGGATTCGTGTTGTGTCGTGAATTGGTTTTGTTGTTTTGATTTTAAAAAATATTTAAAAGGAATATTTATTCCTTTTAGATATTTTGGATTTGCTTTTAAAAAAAATATTTAAAAGGAAATTTAATTCCTTTTTAGGTATTTTAAAGTTTTTTTATAAATAGGGTTTTTGTTACTTCATAATGCCTCGCAAACGAAAGTCCAGCCTTTCAAGAGTATCTTCTCAAAGACAACCGAAAAGATTAGCTCGATCGCTAGAATCTTTAGAAGATGCTGAACTGAGAAGGCAAGAACAAGCAGAGCGTCAGGCTACTTTTAGAGCATCTGAGACACTTTCTCAACGCCAGCAAAGGCGTCTTGAACAGACAGAGCGTCAGGCTGCTTTAAGAGCTTCCGAAACACCTTCTCAAAGTCAGAAAAGGCGTCTTGAACAGGAA